CCAGAGGGAGTGAGCCACTTCAGATGAGGTCGGGTTTGGGTTTGTCTCGGAGATCAAGCCCGCTCGGCTTTGCAGTCCCGCGGACCAGCAGCCCTGATTCGCGGCAGCTGTGCTCACAAGCAAGCGGGGGAAGAGAGACAGAAATAGTCCGGAGTTTTAAACCGCGTGGTTTTGTGTGTGTGTTTGGGAGGGAGGTTGTTCCAGAGGGAGTGAGCCACTTCAGATGAGGTCGGGTTTGGGTTTGTCTCGGAGATCAAGCCCGCTCGGCTTTGCAGTCCCGCGGACCAGCAGCCCTGATTCGCGGCAGCTGTGCTCACAAGCAAGCGGGGGAAGAGAGACAGAAATAGTCCGGAGTTTTAAACCGCGTGGTTTTGTGTGTGTGTTTGGGAGGGAGGTTGTTTTACAGTGAGCCGTGGAGAGGAACTGCAGGGACAAGACAGGGAGGCTGACAGACTGAAACCACATGCCCCAGGTGCATAGCTGCAGACCTGTTGTTAGAGAGCACCTGCTTTTTCTTCTAGCAGGAGATTTTTATTTTAACTTGTTTGCCCCACTGCTGAACTGAGCAGTTTTCAACAGGAAACTTCCATTTCCTTTTCCCCACTCCGAGTTCCACAGGTTAGAGGAAAGTAGTAATGGGAAAAGGCATAAGAAAATCCTAAAGACAAGTCCTGCCTTTAATCTTGGGAGGTTTTTTTTTTTTTGCTATGTAGTCATGGTTTGTGTCAATAGAAAGCCTTGACTGAATTGTTCCCTGCTCACAAAAATATGAAATCTGTATCAGGTTGCACTACTGAGTAGCCTGCCCCCCTCATATTCCCCTTTCTAAATTTTTAAAACTTCAGAGGGGTAGCCGAGTTAGTCTGTAACAGGAAAAACTTAAAAAACAACAAATAGACTGGTAGCACCTTAAAGACTAACAAAACATGTAGATGGTATCATGGGCTTTTGTGGGCGCAATCCACTTCTTCAGATGACAGGAGTATTACATCTTGAAATTATAGATGTAATCTCTGCTTTATTAACACAGAAAACTCTGGGGATGGAGATGCCATTTTAAAAATGGAACTCAGAACTATTAAAATTGTATTTTCTATTACAGGTGGCCTTGGTGGGTCAAAGCCTCAATCTTTACTGTTTTATCTGATCCCCTCCCCCCCCCAAAAATGTTTATTTAGGAAGTTTGAATGAGTCTACAAATCCTTGCCCTGTAAATATCAAAAACAAAAGAATCACTACAACTATTAGCTTTTGTTTAAGGTGATGTTATAATAAATATTTCATAGAAGAAAATTCCAGAGTATGCAGAACCCACTGTCACAGATTTACATGTCACTCTATGAATGTGCAACCCACATCCTTTTTCAGTTCTGTGCATCTTTCTGCAAATGCTGTCTGATGTGAATTGAACCAATACACATTGAAGTGCTCAGTAATTTGGTGGCTTGGTGCTTATGGAAAGGTACACGGAACTCTTCAAAATCCACAGTCAAGTAGGGTTGCACTGATGAATAGAGATGTTACCTCCCCTCCCCTCCATTCCTAGTCTATCCTACCTATCTAGGCTATAAACTTTCTTACTTTGTGTTGCTTCAATGCCCAGCATGTCAGACTTTGATCTTCGTTGGGGCCTCTAAACACTAGTGTAATAAAACCACTAATAAAAGGCATGATAAAATCTTGAAATGATACTAAAAAAGATTGTCATGGACCATAGAAATAATGTTTTCCTAGTGCTGTTGTTATTATATTTTGCAGGCTGGTTTGCAAAACCTACTGTTGAGGTGACAGCCACTAGTTCTCATGAAAAAGTGAAGAAGGCATTTATGGCTGAGTTGAAAGCTGAAAATATCAAGCAGTTTCTATAGTAAGTGAAATTTGTATTTATCTGTCCACGAAATTTACTTGTGATTAACTGGCACAATGACTAGGTTTGTGAACAGACTTGGGGTTGTAACCTGTGTTGAAAATAGCCCTGTGAGTAGTGTTCCTTGCAAGCCGCACGCTTGTGCAGCCACTCGGGAGATTCAAATGCCCCCCCAGCAGATCAGCAGAATGCCCAAAGTGAGGTTTTTTGTTGCTACTGGTGGTGCATATTTGCATATGCCTTGGTGCAATAAGGAAAAAATCTGCACATGGATGAAAAGATTAGAGGCAACAGTGTCTGAGAGCCATGCTTGATGGTGGAATCCATCGCAGCGCCTCCTGTCACTTCTTAATTTTTGTGGAAAACAAGGTTCCTCTACAGTGAGCAAGGTTCAATGATTTCAGTGTGGTCAGACCCTCACTCTGTGCTTCTTTGGGGTTGTGAACAATTTTAGAGGCCTTAGAGGTTAATGCTGCCACCGAATCAGAGCCCAGCCTTTCCTACCTCAATCAGTTTCCATTTTTAGGGAAGCGTTTACCCTGCACCAATTTTCAGGCAATGCTCTTACTTCAAAGAGAGAGATAAAAGTAGATTGGGGTCCTAAATCTGGTTTCACTCCACTGAAGTTAGCGGAGTTACATCAGCGTAAATGAGAGGAGAACTAGATAGCAGGTTCTTGACTTCTAGATTATTTGCAGGTTAGCTTCCCCTCGCTTTCTGCTCTGGCCTCATATTACCATTTGTTATGTCAAAAATCACATGGCCTTCTCATTTTTGTCTGGCAACTCCTTCCATGTGGATCCCATGCCTGGAATCCTCTCTTTGACATGCCTCCAAACTCTAATCTTTTGTAATGAGAATTATTTATATGGGCATGTGGAAATGGGGTAGATACCAGCAGGCCAATTTAAAAACTGATCACTTATCAAAAATTAGGTCTGTGGATCTCTCACCTTCAAGTTCTTTCTTAAGGATATGTTTAATCCAAAGGGGAAAAGGCTTATTCCACTCACCCATTCCAAACCATGCTACCTAAGAAGAGAGGCCTAGGTCCTCTATGGTATGTAGACACCTAGCTCCCACTGGTTTCAGGATCTGGTCCAAAATTCTTAAAATAATCTTGTCCCTGTGTTGAAGCCCTAGCTAGAAGGCCGTTGCATCTCCTGAAAATTCAGACAATTGTAAAAGGGAGGAACATAGATTATAAAAAAATCTCATAATAGTCCTTAATTTCCATAATTTATTTTTGAAATTTTGACTTGGGAAAAGTTGAGACACATTTAGTAATCTATGTGAGGCAGTTGGGTAAATTCTTTTGATGAAATCCATTGATTGTTAGTAATTATATTCTTAATTCCAGTCAGGAACTGCCCAGAAACCTTTGTTTATTGCTGGTAATTAACCTTCAGCATAAAAAAGTATCAGTGATTTCAGAGTAATTAAATACAAAGCCAAATCCCTTAAGTCCCAACCTTTTAACATGGTGTACCTAGGTGCAAATGTTCTTAGAAAAGCTCTCACTTGGTGAGTCCATGGCAATTCCACTGAAATGATATTACTAGGGGGCTGTGCCCCCTGCTCACTGCACTTGACAACCCTCCTGTCACGGGGGGCAGGCAATCCAATGCTCCCACCAGCCACCGGGGAAGGCCGTGTTGCAGCCACACCATCTTGGTGCCTCACTCCCCTTCCCCCCCTTCGCCAGCTCCGTTCTCTCCTCTTACCAACCAGGGCCCCCTTCTCCCTGCCCCCTCCCACCTCAGCCAGCTAGGGTCCCCTTCTCCCTCCCCCCTCAGCTCCCTGCCAGCCAGGGTCTCTTGTCTCTCCTCACCCCCCACCGTGTCCAATCCATAATTCTAGTGGCTGGCCAGCAGCATGCACCAGGCCTGGCTCTAACCTCAGCAGCCAGGCCCAGTTTTCCCCCTGTGCTCCAGGAAGGGCCAGACCCAAACTGTACCAGCCCTGTTTTCACTCCAGGAGGGGCTGGGCCTGGCCACTGGGAAAGGGAGGGAAGGGTTGGGCTGTAAGTAGCCCCAATCCTCCACATGGGTACTGGGAAGGGTCAGGTGGGGGGAGGGCAGGGCATGTTCCTATGGGATGCACAGTGAAGTGATGATGTCACTGTTGTCCCACAGGAAACACATTTTATAGGTATAGTAAGAAATGTGTTTGCCACAGACATAATAATTTAAGAATGACCATACTGGGTGAGACCCAAGGTCCATCTAATCCAGTATTCTGTCTTCCAACGGTGAACAATGCCAGGTGCCTCAGAGAAACTGAACAAAATAGGCAGTCATAAAGTGATCCCTCCCCTGTTACCCATTCCCAGCCTCTGGCAAACAGAGGCTAGGGATACCATTTCAAGAAGTGGGCATAACATGGATTTATACAGAGGCAATAAGATATTATCTGTTTTATTCACTGTCCCTTTTTGAAACAATTCATAACATTCTGTTTGCTTTTTTGACTGCTGCTGTACTTTGAGTGGATGTTTTCATTGCAGTTATTAAATTACCCTGAAGCTGCTCCTTTTTTACTAAGTAATGACCATAAATTGGACTAAAGGATTGTACAGCCAATAACATTTTAAACCAGGATTTGTTTATTATCAAAGTAATATGGTTGCTAATAATCATTTTCGTAGGATTGTTTTCTGCCACCAGAATACCCTCACCTTTATGTCCAGAGCAAACATTGCTGCCTCAGTGTGTGAAACACAGACAGCTGGGGTAGAATAGGGTAGATACACAATAGTAATACTGTACAGCAAATTGAAGTGGGAAATTGAATCCAACATCCAATTAAAACAGCAAAGGGAATGTAAAGATAGAGAATTCGGTTGCTTGAAATGGACCTTAACCAAGATGCAGACTTAAAGGTTCCAATCTTTAATATAAATTGCCATTGAATCTTTAATGATAACATATGGTCAGGGTCTAAATTCTGCATGTCATCCAGGAGTTGACACCTTCATCAAAACAGTCACCCCACCACAGTGTTTTGACAAAAGTAGAGGAGCAAAGATTTTTTCACTGATCTAGGAAGCCAGGGCCAGAGTTGATCACCATTGTATCTCTGTAGTTCACATAACATTGAATTACTGACTAATATAGTGACTCTAGGACTTGGCTAGTAACTGCTCTCTATAAAAGTTCAATTGCCTCTTTGTCACCAGAATGCTAGAATGTCTGGTATTCTCTCTAGATTAGGGTTCAAATTCTAGTGCGCACAAGGATGCCCTAAATGTGAAATGTATTTACAAGTACTTAATCTAGTATTTTCAAAAAGCAACATCAGTCTAATCAGGTTGAACCTCTCTAGTCTGGCACTTTCTGGTCCAGCAACATCCCTGGTCCTGCATGACTTTAGTTAGCTGGATGTCTACTTATGGATGTGGCCAAGTTTCCTGTGGTCCCATAAAGTTTGGTTACAGCCACCAGTCCTGAGCAATGCCAGGTAGATCTAGTTAAAAATAAGTATTTAATCAAGTGATATAAAATGAAGGAAACATTAGATATGTATACACATTAATAAATAGCTTCTCATACTACTATACTTTTGTAAAAGTTAAATAAAAATCTACATTGAATGTTACATGAGCAACATTTTACGTTTTCAAGACAGGAGGAAAAAGCTGCAGACCTTTCAGTTTAGTGCAGGAGCGAGGAACCTTTTTTGGGTTGGGGGCCACTGACTTACAGAAAAATCAGTTGGGGGCCACACACAAAGAGGAGCAAAGTGATGAGCAAAACCACCAAAAACAAAACCTCACTGACGTGGCCTCCAGCTGAGACGCAGAAATTCCCTTTGCACACCAGAGCCTGGGGGGCCTGGCTACTAGATAGTGTGTAATCCAGCCCCACAGAGAATTGGAGTGTGGGTCGGGGGAGGGGGGAGGGGTGCAGCACCAGCATGGGCTCCCCAGTGCTGGGTGGGGAGCACTGAGGGCCAGATTCATGCAAGCAGGGGGCCACATCCAGTTCCTGGTCCTTAGGTTCCACACCCTGGTAGTGGACTGATCTGAGGTCTCATATCATTTGTGTGCACCCAAAGAAGGGTAAAGGAGGGCAGCATGAAACACTCTGCAGAAGCAGTGAGAAGAGCAGAACTGTTTGAACTAGTTACAGAGGGTAAACATTTCTGAAGTGCCTAAATTACTTAGGCCCTTAAAAATCCCATTTTCAAAAGTGACTTAGGTTCCTAAGTGTCACTGAAAGTTAATACGAATTAGGCTCCTAGGTGCCAGAATTCTAAAAATATTTAAGCCCCTAAAAATCCAGACAGGTTTTTTCAAAAGTGCCTAGGTACCTAACTTCCATTGAAATCAATGGGAGGTAGGCTTCTAGGTGATTTTGAAAAATTTCACTAGGCATTTTAAGTGTCTTAATACCTTCAATATTTTGGCTTCAGTCATATGAAAATGGAACTTAGGATCCTAGCACAGTTTTTTTTAGAAATTTTTGCCTTTACTTATTGTTTCTGTTTGTGAATCACTATCAAGCTGATAGTGATTTCTTCATGTGGATTTGTTATAAATACTAGCCAAATTAAGATCTGGATACTTGTATTTCCCCCCCCCCCCCCGATAGTATCTGAGTGCCTCACAAACAGTAGATGAGTTTGTACCCACAACTCCTCTGTGCTCTGTGGAAGTGCTTTTCCTCTGTTTATACACAGACAAAAATCTGATGTTAAGTGACTTGCCCAAATCTGTAGCAGAGCTACTGTCTCTTTCCAGTGCCCTAACCACAAAGCCTCAGTACTCTCCATAAATAATGTTTTTGAACTATGGTTGTTCACAACCTTTTTGCAGACTGTTCTCTCTGTCTATTCGCTGTTAATTATTCATGATATGTGGTGAGTCATCTAAATCACAAAGTACTGGTTTTGATCTCTGATTGGATGACTGAATCTTTTTAAAGAGACAAGGAGTAATAGTCAATTTACAGTATGAGCTTTTTGGACAAATAATCATTTGTGCTAAAATTCGTGAAGACTTGGGATGACCATCATGGATGTTGCCTATAATGTGACCTCATGAACAGTAACAAATCAAATTTAGAGATCAGATTTTCAGTACATTTGTAAATTAGTTTCTTCAGTGTTGGGCTGTAGTACAGGGGAATAATTATTATATCTAGTTCTTAATTATCTCTATGAACACTCTTATTCATTGCAAAGGAAGTTGGTATCATTATCCATCCCCATGTTAGAGATGGGAAAACGTAATCACAAAGCAGTGAAAGGACTCTTCCAGGAGGCCAATGGCAAAGCTGGAAATAGAACCCAGGTCTCCTGAGTTTCAGTGCAGTGTTCTGTGCACTAGGTAATACTGCTTCCCAGAAGGGGATGATCATAATAGTTAAGGGGAACTTGAAGTCTTTGATATATATGTTTATGAAACTGATGTAAAACTAAAAGTTCAGGGTTGATTAGGGAGCTGGTTTATTCTGGGTAGTTCTGTTGGCTTTTAATATGTTGTAAAATGTACTTCCCATTTAGACCAAGAAGGTTACTTCTAATTACAAACTCCACTTCCTAGTATTAAATGCCCATTTCTTTCCCTCAGTAATTTTACACGGCGCCCTCATCTCGCAGGCACAGATGAGAACCTGCACTTTGCACAGCAAATCCAAGCCCAGTGGAAGGAATTTGGATTGGATTTGGCTGAGCTGGTTTCCTATGATGTCCTGTTGTCCTACCCTAATGGGAGTAATCCCAACTACATCTCAATTATTGATGAGCATGGAAATGAGGTAAAGAAAACATAAAGTTTTGCAACTCAGGGGTTGTGTATACAGGAAAGTTGATTTGGATTAGAGTAGGATGTGACTCTAAAGTGGAATAGTTAATCCTTATTAACTCTGTTTGTGGATGCCCTTATTCTGGATTAGGAGTGCTTTATTCTTAATTATCTTAATCCATTGAAAGATGAAGTGGATTAAAACTATTCAAAATAAGAGTGTTCACAGAGATAATTAATCAGGATTAGCTCTTCATAAACAAGCCCTAAGAAGAAAAACTCACTTTCAGATACCTTGGGATAAGAAACTGTAGATGCAAGGAGGGAGAATCTAACCTTTGTTGCACTAATGATTTACTGTATGAAAATCACACTGGAGCCAATTCAGAGCTCATTGAAGTCAGTAATTAGAGATGGTCACTGACGTCAGCAGACTCTGGGGGAAAAACTAAGACCTTAATTTGTTTGTACCTTAATTTTCCCTACTGTTTATCGTCAGTGATAACACTTACCCATATTTTTCGAATGTGTTGAGAACGGATGGAAGAAGTACTACATAACTGCTTATTATTACTGCTTTATTTTTAAACTGCCATGAGAAAAAAGTTGTGTTCAGCATCATGACTCACAGTACTTGTAATTATGTGGTGTTCAGACTTAGCAGCTTTAAGGCTGGCAATGTGTTTCTAGGGCTAGAGTGTGGGACTAAGGCTCTAGCTATACAAAAAAACTGGATATGTAGTTCATCACCAGTGCAGCATCTTTACTGGTGGAAGCTGTGATGTATATAAAACTCAGGCACTTTTACCATCGTGTTGTCTAACCCTTGGTTACCTATTGTGCAAAGAGAGCCACATGCGTGGGCCACCATGCCCATGCATATTTTATTGGGGCTTCATGCTGGTGCATGGGTTGGGTCCATCTGCTCTCTTTCCAAGATCAGGGCCTAAGCCTGCAACATGAATCACAGGTCAGGAGGAACTCTGTCTTAACTATAGAACTAGATTCAATTCTGAACCATAACTACCTGAGAAATATGGACTGGGCCTCTTTCTAATATTATGTCTCTTTTTTCCTCTTTCAAACTAGGTCTTCAATACATCATTATTTGAGCCTCCCCCTCCAGGATATGAGATGGTTACAGATGTTGTGCCTCCCTACAGTGCTTTCTCAGCTCAAGGGGTACCAGAGGTAAAGAGATTAGAACTCTGACATTACAGGCTTCCAGCCCTACATCAGGGTTGCCAGTTTAGCTTCAATATCTCAGAACATGGCCATATAAATATGTCATATAAACATAAGATATCCTGGCCCTGTTGAAGTGTTAAATGCTAATTTTTCCTTCATGTAGACAAGAACAGTCATGTTTCAAAACACATTAGCTTAACCAGCAAGCACAGTGGACTAATGTATATTACATTTTAATGTGATAGCTAGCACCCGTGTTCCCTGTAAACTGTGTGCTTGGGTGGCCAGCCAGGAGAAATTAAATGCTACCCAGCTGATTAGCAGAGCACCCACAGCATGTGTTTATATTGATGGTGCACATCTGCACATGCCTCAGTCCACATAACAAAATTTGTTCCACCCATGGATGGAAAAAGAGGGAACATCAGCTAGGACATGTTAAAATGAATACTTTTCCTAAGGTACACATGGTGGGTAGATTTTTTTAAAGGGTCACGTGGCATATTGGTCTCTAGCTCCCATTGAAATTCAATAAAAGTTAAGTGCTCTTTGTTCTTCTAAAAATCTACCCCGTGGCCTCTCAAGGTAAAAATAAAAATGATTAACATCACATTATCTAAGTGATATGAATTTAATCTTTTCTAATACAATGTATTTTCCCAATAGACACAAGCCTTATTATGAGCCATGCATGTTTAGTCCAACCCAAGGTTCTTCAAAATATATTTATATGAAGTATTATCTGGTGATGAAAGGCTGGGTACACATGAGTGTCTCTGTTGCTAAACTATCACACAACCTATAGACGAATGTAGGTACCTTACTGTTGGGCTGTTTCCGAAAGTGCCAGTATTTCGGTGAATGCTGCCAGGGGAACCGAACCTGGGCTCTCAGGAGCTTAGTGCATGAACCTCAACAGCTTGAGCTAAAAGCCAGCTGTCTCTCAAGGCCATAGACCAAACTCATTCTTTCTCTCCTGCAAATGGTCTAAGTACCACTATGTGGGACAGTGAACCACAACATTGCCATAGTGCCAGCACAGCAATATCTTGTGTGTCTCTCACTGCCAGAACAAATAACAGGACTATGTAGCACTTTAAAGACTAACAAGATGGTTTATTAGGTGATGAGCTTTCGTGGGCCAGACCCACTTCCTCAGATCAAATAGATCCAAGGAAGTGGGTCTGGCCCACGAAAGCTCATCACCTAATAAACCATCTTGTTAGTCTTTAAAGTGCTACATAGTCCTGTTATTTGTTCTGGCAGTGAGACACACACAAGATATTGCTGTGCTGGCACTATGGCAATGTTGTGGTTCACTGTCCCACATAGTGGTACTTAGACCATTTGGCCAGGTTATTCTAAGAAAGCACCACATTTCTAGGAATGATGAAACGGCATTTGGCACGCATCGTGGTCTGGCTTCTTCATTTCTTATGTGACCAGAACTCCCATTGACTGTGGCTGGAGTGTAAAGGAAAGAAGGCTCAGACCTCTATGTGGTGTGAGAAGTTTTGGTTGCAAACAATTTTGGCAAATTATCCTTGTCAGGGTGAGGGCACTGACCATGCCAAAGGGCTCTGGAAATAAGTGTGTATGGTGGGTTGTTCTTACAGCACTACCTCTTAGGCTGAAGTATCATGCTACCCTCTACATTCAGTCAGTTCAGCTGCCCATTGCAGAAGAGCTCAGAAATGTTTTTTTTTGTCTCTTTTCTAGTTTTTGTTAAATCCCAGTGTTCCCGAGTTAATGGATATTGGCACTTCAGCACATTCCATGGAGTGTTATTTTTGGTGCCTCCTATTTTGCAGAGGGTTCCAAAGGACAGAAGGTTCCTTGTAAAACTGGTCTATATAGCAGTTGCTTTCCTTTGTTGTATCCTTACTACGTATAAGTGGATTTAGTCACCAGTTTGTAAGCTTAGAAAAGATTTATGTGAGCACAGTACCTTTCTTAACTATTTAATTCAGGCTGTTAATTACTGTGATGTTTTCGTGTGTAGTTTAGCAATAGGCTGCACAAGTCTCGAAAATTAAAGGAACCCTGCTCAGAGTTTGGTTTAATATTCAGGATGGGAAATCAGACCAGATAATCTCTATTCAGCAGGGTATTTTCAGTTAATGACATTTTTAGAGCGACAGCAGGACATTTAGAGCAAGATATATGGGAACACTCATGGATTATGATCTATCATAAAATAGTATCCTGAGAAAAACACTATGGCTGTGCCATTTTATTTGTTTTCTGGGGAGCCACAATAGCTGATAGGAAATAGGGGACTAATACAAATAGTTCTGAAAGGCTGAAGCCTCCTTTTCAAAAAACTAATTAAAATGAATGCTATCTGAGGGGGAAAAAAATGATGCCTGAGAGACACCAGACTGTCTCTTTTCAGAACAAGATGCTAAATGTTCCTTACTCGTGGTCACACTGTTGGCAGAATCTTCATACAGCTAGCTGCTGCTGTCAACAATGAAGTATTCCAATGGGCTGCTCCATTACATATCAGAAAATTCCAGATGTTGGATTTTCTTTTTATAATAATTATTTGCTTTTACCCCCTAGTCCTCACACTGTTTGTTTTAGCTTTTGTGAGAAGTCCAGGATTAGCAGTCCTGGAAACTTGAAATCTCTAGTTTTCCCATGCAACCAGAGCAGTACAATCTCCTTCCATGAAAACTGCCTCACCCTGGTATTCATTATGTGTATAATCATACAATGTAGGGACCCCAGACACCTAACAAGAGGCAGTCCCAGTCCCAGCAATCTTAGGGTATGTCTACACTAGCCCTCAGATCGATCCAGGGAGGCTAATGAGGGCAACCGAAATTGCAAATCCCACGCTTGATTTGCATGTTCCCGGCCGGTCGCCATTTTAGAAATTGACTAGCCCGAAGTAACTGCCCACGTCTACACGCGGCAGTGAAACGGGATTCTGAAATAAAGCCCTAACTCGAATTAGCTGGTAAACCTCATTGCAGGAGGAATATCAGCTAATTCGAGATAGGGCTTTATTTCAGAATCCCGTTTCACTGCCGCGTGTAGACGTGGGCAGTTACTTCGGGCTAGTCAATTTCTAAAATGGCGACCGGCCGGGAACATGCAAATCAAGCGTGGGATTTGCAATTTCGGTTGCCCTCATTAGCCTCCCTGGATCGATCTGAGGGCTAGTGTAGACATACCCTAAGATTGCTGGGACTGGGACTGCCTCTTGTTAGGTGTCTGGGGTCCCTACATTGTATGATTATACACATGAGCAGACAGAAAGTAGGAGAGAGGAAGTATTAACCCCAGTCACAGGTGGGGCACTGATACACAGAAGGGAGTGACATGGCTGAGGGTCCACAGCAAGTCTGTGACCATCAGGAATTAAAACTCAGGTTTTGTGAGTCCCACTCTAGTGCCCCAGCCACAAGTTCTTCCTTGCCAAGGCAAATGAGTTCCTTATTAGTCTCAATACCATCACTGATCGTTTTTGTATCAGTCACGAAACATTATGCGGGCTCCTTTAGGAGGGGCAATGTTGGTACAGCTGCACAAGACAAAGAGTCCTTTTTTTGCTAGGGATCCCCACCCCATTACAAGTTCATTTTAATCAGGGGCCAAATCCTGCTTGCGGTTTTTCCTTGGCATGGTCTAGGGAGCACGTTTCAATCCTGTTACTGAAATGAAAGAATGGTTGGGGTGACTGCCTTGTTTCTGACAGAATTCTCCCTTCTCTTGATACCCCATCAGGGCTGGTGCATACCTAGGGCACATACAAATATTTCTGATGCGGAAGTTTATGCTAGCAGTGTATTTGGCCCCATACACACTGCCAGAGGTACGGATAGCCTCTGCAAGCCTCTGGGCAAGGGGTGTGTGTGTGTGCACTCCAGGAAGGGCAGGGCCAGGGCAGCCAGCCCTCAATGCCACCTGGAGCATGGCACACCTCATCCCCAGTGCTCAGAGCTGCCTGGAGCACGTGTCATAGTGCAGAACTCCAGATAGTGATTTAAAAGGCGTGGATGGGCTCTCGCCACTGCCGCTGTAGCAATGGCAGTAGCTGGGAGCTCCAGGCCCCTTGGAATTGCCAGGCCTCAGGGCAGCAGTCCCCTTTGTCCTCCCCTCCCCCTGTCAGCGGGTCTGCGCACTGAAGAAAAAGATGGCAACTTGCCCTTTGTAGGTATAAATGTGACTTCTAGCGGGAAACAGAAGCTCCTGCAGCTTGGAGCAGCACTCCCCCATCCAACAAATGCAGGTAAGGACACATCATAGTGCTGTGCTGAGTGCTCCACAGCTAACCTCTCTGTCGTGGGAGTGACTAAGTTCCTTGTCCACAAGGCACTTAATGGGATGAGTGCAAGCTACCTCAAAGACAACCATTCATGACCTCTAACACAGCTGTGCTTTACTGCGACAACACAACTAGCCTGGCACACAATAAGGCTTTTATGTGCAGACAAAGCGTTCAGTGTCCGAACTGCAGCTATGGAACAGAGGAGATCATGGGAATTGTCATAGGGGATCAGACCTAATTCCATCTATTCCAGTGTCCTGTCTCAGGTAGTGGCCAATACTAGATACATCAGAGGAAGGTGCAAGAACCCTTCAGTAGACTGATGTGGGATAATCTGCGCCCTCACCCATAAATCTCACCCAGAACATAATTTGTTGGACAAAAGTCAACATGGTTTCTGTAAAGGGAAATCCTGTCTTACTAATCTATTAGAGTTCTTTGAAGGGGTTAACAAACATGTGGACAAGGGGGATCCAGTAGATATAGTATACTTGGATTTTCAGAAAGCCTTTGACAAGGTCCCTCACCAAAGGCTCTTGTGTAAATTACATGGCCATGGGATAAGAGGGAAGGTCCTTTCTTGGATGGAGAACTGGTTAAAAGGCAGGAAACAAAGGGTAGGAATAAATGGTAAATTTTCAGATTGGAGAGGGGTAACTAGTGGTGTCCCCCAAGGGTCAGTCCTGGGACCAATCCTTCTCAACTTATTCATAAATGATCTGGA